GTGAGTTATGTGACAATCTAAGTGTGGCTTAACGCATTAGAGCCCTGTTTTAGAGGTTTCTGATTAAACTTTAGGACGCGAATTCCAGCCAGTCAGAATACAGTAGCCCGGTCGCGACAGTCACTAATACGATAATTGGAGTTACGTCAAGTGTCCGTCGCTTTCCGATGCGCTGAATGTGACGTGGGGACGCTTTACAAGTTAATTAAAATTCCTGTACACTAGTTCAATGTCTGCCACATTCACTGAATTGTTTAGGCTTGTTACCTCGGATCAGTGATTATAAATCCCCTGCTACGTCTGTTTTCGGAGTTCACGCCACATGTTGTGAAGTATAACACGTCGTGAAACGAGGCATGTGGAAGGGGGCCTCACCAAGAGAAAGGACAGTGGACTTGAAAAAGTTGACTTGTTTCAGTCAAGATGCCAGGCAACTATGCTATCTATCAACAAGCTCTGTGGTTGATTTGAATTAGTACAGTTGTATTTCTTGTGCTGTGGACGCTGAATGACAGACAGAGAAAACTTTCCCAATTAAAAACATTCATACGTCTGACTAACAACATCACAAGCTGGGTGAAATATTACTCAGTAGAAAGTTTATCAAGTTACTTTATCTTAACCTAGGACAAGCCATACATGACAAGCGCTGCGTGGTACATGGACCCTGAAATATGATACGGTGGAACAATCACAGGTATTTCATGAGATTATCTGGACCCACGAGAGGGACAGAGAAAATGGCTTAAACACATAATGAGCTACTTCATAATTTTTCGGATCATACCCGGCCTGTATTAAATTCAGTAATTACCACTGATCATCTATGAAATAACTTCACAGTAACTTCTGCTACATGTTTCGACACGAAGTGTTATTTTCAGGCCTCACACTTGTCAAGTCAATTCCTAAATGACTCGGTTTTAACCTGTACATGAATCTTACATTGACTTTAAAAATATTTCCCAATTGGATTCATTGGTTACATATGTCTTTGAATCTTTGTTGTTCTATTTATAATTTTAAATTCTTGGGTTTTATTTTACTAGAAAAATTCTAAAAAAAATTGCCTTTCTCTCTTATAAATACATGTAATTTATTAGGTCGATTGAATTTTACCCCCAAACTGACTAGAACTTCTGTGTTATCGAAATGGTTCTTCATTATTAAATTATATCTGGCATAGGCATTTCTTGTCATGCGGATATTGTAGTTATACCGCCATGACTCGGTCACCAGAGCCTCGTATGTTAGAAAGGGCTGAACAACTTGTAGGGGAAGTTGACATTTGGACAGACGAGGCTGTAACAGCCACGTCCTAGCTCTGACATCCCTGAAGAACGTTCTCGCCAAAACGCAAAAAAAGGAACGTGCCCCGACGAGTACTTATAGTTGCTGTATTTTAATGACGGTGAATGGCTCTATACACTGTTCTCACTGACATCACTTCTGGAGTGATTGTTATGTCACTGTGTTATGGGTTTCATTATCTGTGTCTGAGTCTTTTAATGACGTTTTATGGATCTGGTTTTCAATTAAAACTGTAAATGAAGCTGAAATAAGCCCCGCTGAACAGGTTTAAACAGCATCTGCTCTACTGTTTTGATGGTTATCGAGAAAAGTTATTTTACAACATCTAGCTTGTCAAAATCGTAAAATCGTTTGGAGGCTAGACTGAAACCATTACCAGTCACTGCCACGTTAGTTGTAGAGAGTGACCTGCGGGGTGTGGGGTGTGAGGGGGTTGATAAATTAATACGAAATTTGGGTTGAGAATCCTGAAGGGAAGGGACCAGTGGGAAGACCGAGATGGGACAATATTAAAATGGACCTTAGGGAAATAAAGTTGGATGGTGCGGAGTGGCTCAAGAATACGGACTGGTAGCGGGTCCTTGAGCCTTGGAGAACGTCTTGAGCTTACCGTCGGCCTCTCGAGGACTCAAGCATTCAACAGATTTGAAATGTTGCCAAGTCCTTTCGTGTTTGAGACGAATGGGAGGGAAAACTCAAAAGTGGAGTACATGTAGCTTCTAAATGCGTTTCTCGCAAAGTTCCACAACTCATATTCATTTATTGGTAATAGTTTTCAGAAGTTTTTCTTAGAAGCGTCGCACAGAGGGCAGGGCTGAAGAATGTCCGATGAGCTGGACAGTGCGTAATTGTAGCTCAGCCTCAGTACACAAGAAGAACCTTGTTTTTTCTGTCCTCTCTGTTACAAACTGGGACATTAGTCATACACTGGATTCCACTCCACACAGGACAATCGTGTCAGGACTTTAGAAACATGCTGTACAGAAATTCTTTGTTTCTCTCAGCATGAAAGCTACCAAAGTAATGCCCCCATGGCCACACGAGCCACCCTAAAAAACCCTGAGATTGTCACTGCCAGGGTATAAAACCCTGAGCGCCTGTGAGTGTAAGCAACACGCCGTATTTATTGGTGATGTTTCCCATGTTCCGTAGTTTCTAATTTTTTAAGGCCGGGCAAGATGACGTATGAATAATTGAGGTCAAGAATGGCATAGGTTCCGTCCGAGATATTTGTTTATCCACGTCACAACAAAGTGACGAAGGTTTCAAACGTTTTCATTCCTGTGATGATTCCACCTTTGAGGACAATTACGAATCACGAAGGCAGCAACGCGTCTCAAAATTCGAACGCCGTGGAACAAAGGCATGAAATGAAGGTTTCACTATCTGTGTACGTCATGTCTCAAGCTCCGGCCGCTGTATCCCGCGCGCACAGTAACGCCTGGCAACAGGACACGACGTCTCCAGTTTCAGCTCTTTTAATTTAACCTTCTACGTTCATTCTAAATTGATACAGCGTCAATAAACAACCCACCAGCTAGCTTCAAGGCCCATCATAATGTACTGTTTTCCTTTTATCGTACACATTGTTTCCCGCGTACTTCATACGTGTTGTCTTCAAATATTTGGACACATGTGGGATTTGATTCGGTTCATGTGACAAGAGTCTTTGTGGGCGACTGGTGAGTTGCCTACTCGTCTCTTTGCATTGCTCGCTTCGCTTTCGGGTCAAGGTGTCAATGCAGTCTATACAAAAATAATTGGCAGTAAGTATTTGGCGTTTTGCACTGTCCACATGAAACACCGTCTTGTCAAACAAATCGCTAACCCTGGCAGCTAAGGTTCAAGATCGCTACGTAGGCCCGCCTCAGCCAGTTCCATCAACCCGTCATGTCCTCTTCTATCTTCCAAATGGACGTTTCCCGACCAAAATTCTGTGTGCGTTTCCAGTGTCCCTCACATCAGTTTCTCAGATTTTGCTCATTATATAATATTCAAGATTGCTCGCGTGTATCGTTCTATCTAGATTCAGGTATTTTTCCTGGGCACTTGCTTCAAAGTAAGTGACCATGTTTTAAACCCATGCCAAACAAGCGGCAAACTTCCTGTCCATCACACGGTGATTCTCAGTGACTCGCAGTTTACAACAAAAGACTGGCGAAAATTGTTCTTCGCCGAAGTCAAAGGAGTAAGAAATCAGAAGGGGTGTATAATTGAAGCTCTAAGGCCATTTATGCTTCCATAAGTCAGGACGGTAGAGTCGGCTTTAGGATGTTATTTGTGGATGAGTAGACACAAGAGGCCTCCTGCCGACAAGAAGTATCGTCATGACAACATGGCGGGCCCAGACCTTCTCTTGTTTTCTTCCTATCTTTATCTGTATAGCGAGGAGCTATGTGGGAATGCTATTGGTGCAGTATAGGCAACACACACACACACACTCCGGCAATAATTTAAAGAACATCTCCTGACACTAATTACAGTGAGTGAAATGACGTAAAATAATTATGCAGTTAATTGATTACCGCGTAAGACTGTATTTATCGCTTATTAAAATCATTTCTTCGTGAGGTTAGGCCTGTATCATTTCAGATTAAGGAGGATATGCCAGTTCTTAATTGCCTGATGGTGAGTTATCGACGGAATAAACCGTGGCCCATTTAAATTTAAGACGTCGGGACGCGGGTATCGACGCCTCTCCCTCCGTACATTCCACGGCGAGACGATTTAATATGGATCACTATTGGCCTAATTATGGAGCAGAGCCCTTCTTGAGAAACTGATAGTTGCTTACGTAGTTGAGAAACTCCCAGCTGTTCTGGAACCTGAATATTGATTCGCTCACTCACCGTGTTCTCAACTGTTCGACGCTGGACCATATCCTGAGCCAGTTGAATAAACTCCACACACTTTTTCCTTCTAGTAAATCAGAGGGTACAGTTGGAGGCGTCTGCGATTTAATCTTGACGTTTTTTTTGGCAGAAGCAGAGATTATGAGAGACAGAGAAACTCTGAGAATTTGAACTGATTTTAGTTTGTTTGCGAACGTAATTCTGATTTGTCACCGAGCTGTTCAAAACACGGTAATAAAATTTTGGCTACCATAAAAGAGTCGGGATTTGTTGACTAGATGAGCGACTACTGGCTTCTCAGAAAGGTCCGTGCTCCATGACGTAGGTCAGTTAGATACAGTCGTTCCCAAACACTTGAACTTTGTCCCTCTGTCCACGTACGTATCTGCACTTTCTGTGTTCCCGTTGACCGACACGTGTTCTTTCCATCACGCTCTTAACGTTTTCGCGTCGGGGTGAAATTGTTGAGCACAGACAACTTTTAAATTTGCATCAGCATCGCTTAAAACCAGCCTGAAAACCGCTCGCATCTCGTGCGGTGCTGCAACCCGAAACGCTCTTCTGAGCCAGCAAGTTGAAGGCGAAGACGCGTGAGTTACTCAGGTATTTCCGCCTGCTAGTCGATTAATGAAGTGATGACGAAACTTGGGACTGGTTTGGCGCATGAACACTCTCACTCAGACCTGTTGGATTCAAATGGGCGACAGAGAAGAAGTAGCTGACGGGAGGGAAGTCGTCACGGTCTCCTGAGGAATGTCGCGAATGGCTAATCTGGCGTGTAATGTCCCCCGTGACACGAACACAGACGTATTTTTAAATAATAAAGTAGTATCTTACCTGCAGCACTCTGGCGGCGGGCGGAGTGGGCAGACAGCATTCCAGTGTTCTCCTCGTCTCCTTCATCTTCTGTCATCCGCCAAGAATAAGAAGAAATTAAGAGCTGATTAATTTCCGGGAACACTAGCAAGCATGCAGATCAGAATTTTGTCTCCTGATCTCCAACTAGCAAACGTAAGAATTAAAATGTGCGAAAGTCTTAAGAGAGCCTCCAAGGCCCGTCGTTGCACGCGATTTTGAGCCAGCTGCATCCATCACCCACCCTCGCTGTCAACTCCTCCTTGATCTTCCAAGTGAATGTTTTCCAAAAAAAAATTCTCCCCAATCCCTGCAGTCAAAAGCTATCTCCTCTAGGCTGTTTCACTGTCGTAAGTAAGGATGTTGTTTGACGACGTCCATCGTCATGTAATATCTTAAGCTGATCACGTAATTTATTGGTCTCGAGTCAAAGTGGCAAATGGCTCGACGTGAAAACCTCTGACGTAATTTTATTACACGATAATGCGTCCTTTAACGATGTGGAAGTACGTATTTTTTGGAAGTAACACAACGGTTATCGTGATCCTCCCAGGGTCTCCAGGGCGTAATATTTTAATTTATCCCCCTTTAACCTAGCCGGTACATATAAATAGTTACGTCACTTAGTCACGTGACTGGGAGCCACTGGAGTTTTATTTAATTTTCAACCGTGCGGCCATCACCCTAGACCTAAAGATTTCGAAATCAAAAGTGGGAAGGTCCTTAGCTCCAGGTTCATACTCAGTCACATTATATACACGTGCGTGCAACAACACAGTAACAGACATGCAAATCTGTCACTTCATACCTTAAACACGTTAATAACCAAGTAATTAACTAACGCCATGTAGAGAAACGAATGGTCGCTCAGAAAGGTCTAGCCTCTTAACGCACCCGAAGATTCATAGCCGTGTTTATAGCAGCCGCCCAGTGGTCTCTGGGTCTAGTCCACAGCCTCTAAGACCCTTTTTAATATTATCTTCGCAACTATGCTTAGTACCGAAAGTTATCTCCGGGGCGCAGTGTGGCTGATTGATGACTGAGCCTTGCGTTACGGAGCTACTTCGTTGCGTCCGCGTGTGTATAAAGTAGTCACGCATTCGACAGCCGGAAGAACGCATTACCAAAATCACTTAGTCTCTGATGTGAGTGTTTGTCCACGTACACGGGATCATGGCGATCTCTTACTGCCGATTCAGACGTATTGTTGACAAAGCTAATGGACAGTAAAGTATTGCGCTGGATTGTATAACATATTATTTATTTATATAAACTAACTGTGTGCTAGCGAAACTATAAAGGTTCGAAAACCCGCCACTGGACGTGAATCTGACAGTTCCGTCCATCCTCACAACCTAATTCTGTGATTCATCTTAATGTTATCTTCACATTCGTTGTAGATCTATGACCAGGCCACTGTCTTGATAATGCCGGATTGTTTGTGTGAATTACGAAGTTCCTCGCTGTGTCTGCCTGACATCACGCAGATCGCACCTTTCATTTACATGTGTCAAAAATGCGAGAATAAACTACGAAGTCTCTCGTGATGTGGCCGACAGCTACAGACGTTGTGGTTAGGGGAGATGAACCACGCTAATTGATGACACGTCCGTCCTTGAAACTGATGTGTGTCTGTCTCCGATAATTCCTCTATTATCTGAAGGGGCTAAAGAGAGAAACATGACGAATAGAAATAAGACAATATTGTTCCTAATACGGGAGAAACTGATCCGTGCTTCAGGGTTATTCGCGTTTTATTTGGTCGTAAAGCGAGTTCTCAGCAGACGCTCGCAAACGAAGAAAATCCGGTCAAGAGTTCTGATTGGTCGTTCTTCGAAACTCCATTCGCGTCTATGCCTTCACACGCACGTAGAATCCAAATTTACTTTGTTACAGTTATTTTCCTGTCAATAAGAGAAGCGATTTTAATGGGAATTTGTCTGTGAACGCCTATGTCCGTCCACTTTTAAGGCAGTTCAGTTTGTCGACTGCTTTATTCCTGCGACAGTTTTTCTTAGCGTATTATAAATATATAAAACACAAACCACCTCATTGACTGAACAGCAAAGACACTTGACTACGGCCCCGAGCAGCGACTGTGGTTCGATTCCCGACAGGGGCAATGATTATGCCCTTCGCCACGGCTGCCAGAAGGAACTATTTTATTTGGAAGCAACCTAAGCCTCGTATTCTCGATGGACTCAAAACATAAACTTCATTGGCCGCTTAAAATGAATAGAAGTGAAATTAACCTGTGGACTTCGGTGCCTAAAGAGAGCTTCTTAAACCAACATTAGGATACCGCAGCTGTGTTAAGAGCCCGAGCTCTTTTAAACATATATTTATCATGCGGTAAATTTGCATTTAAGTTCTGTATTACAACTCGTGTACATACGGGACATTCAGATACTGACACTTTGTTTTCTTTGTTGAACTGCGTGCATTGAAGATTTATAATGCTGAAGGTTCTGTTTCTTTACACACGTTCAGGGCCTCGGTGATGAGAAGTTGAAATTGCCAGCATGTGTTGCCAAACAAAATACAAACTGATGGAAGACTTTAACGCTTTGAAACACCAGGTCCATATAAATAATATTTACGAATTCAGTCAGTACCTCAAAGAAAACACAACGCGTCTCCATCACAAAGATGAGCTGGCTAATATTGTTCATAGAGTCTCACCGAACCCGTAAGTATAGTCTTTAGACTTATGAATGTTGAAACAGGTGGTACGTATTGTTACCACACTGTGCTTTAAGGCATTAAACAATACCACATACACACGTTATAAGAATTACAGAAAAGAATATTCCCTGCTAACAAAAAAAAACAAAAGTTCACGCCTGCTATTACGCCGAACCTGAGACCATTAACTTAATTTCGCATTTCAGTGCCAGGTCTCAGGGTCACTTGCCCCTTCGTTTGAGCCGAAGCCTGTGTTTAAGTAGGCATGCCTTTAAAAGAACCTGTGCTTACTAGTTTCAGAGTTGAAAATATTTATATTTGTACGTAAAGTCATTTCATTTTTTCTGGGGCCCTCAGACAAAACTGTACGTAAGTCTTCTTTCGTCAGTAGCAGCTCGCGACATCTAGAGCCGGTCGCTAAAGCCCTTGTTGCAGAAGGCGTCTTCGGTTTGCGTCAGGCCCCTCGACTGCCTGTCCTCCAGGATTCATTAAATTGGCATAAAAGTCCTTTAAGCACCCGAAGCAAGTTTCGTGCTTCGGACTCCGTCGTAAAAGTGGAACTTGGGCTAGGCTTATTTCATCGACATATCCGGTTAATAATTCTACCGAGTCACAAACAGTGTCATAACAAGTTGGGAAATTAACCAACGGCCTAACAATTCGTGACCACCAAATCTTATTTTGTGTCGGACACTGCACGACTTGCATACATTTGGATCGAGTATAAAATATGTTTCATCTCATGCCAAGTTTGTTCGAAACATTTTTTTTTTCAGACTGCAAATATGCCTACCTGAGAAGTTACCGGCGACTTGCATTCGAGATGCGCGCGCATAAAAATCATAAAGTTCTCCAAGTCCGTTATTCTTTGTCCGATTTTAATCGTAATCTAAAAATATCGATAAAAATATATTCTGGTTTTTGACTAAAGCTTTAATGTCGCATCTTAGGAACCAAAATTTCTTTCGCATCAGAAACTTCAGTGTAGAACCCACGAGTGCCAACGTTTCTGAAAATTCGTTCGTTAAGTGTCGAGACACGCAAGAGCGTACTCATCGCGTCGGTTCGGACGGTCACTAACTTACCGGCTGAGGCATTGTACCGCGTCATGACGTAAGTCTATCTGATGCGCCATAGCACAGTAACGCGCGTTCATAATTTAAAATAAAAATCTTTACAGCCTCTGCTGAAATAAAAACCTAATGCAGATCATTTGGAAATTCCGAAGCACTTCCTTGTTCCTTGTGACGTAACATCGCGCTGGTCTGATGCAGTCACTTATTCGTGTCCGACCGTCCTCTCATAGGCTCTCGCTTTGTGATGGGCACCGAAATTTAGAGCCTTTCGTCCGTACACACAGCCCAGACGAATGCAATGAGTTTATTGTTCTATCAATTAGCGATGTATCATAATTTTGGATCCGATCTCAAATTTCCTGCTGGTCCTCGTGATTGTCGCGCAAGTGACGTCATCTGCTCCCAATACAACGGCCAGTAGTCACGACATAAGACAGCTTACACTAATAAATGCGTAATTTAACCTGTCACTGAATTCGGATTTGTTGGGTAAACATAAAAGCAGATCGATCTAATTGGGAAAGTGAGTTTTACGAAATCCGGTTGAATTTAAAAGCAGACGCGTGTACTTTGTAAATCAAAGGGGGAAACAAACTCGCTAAACAAATTGTGCAAACTTTATCATTGCAGAAACGAATTTATCGCGCTCTTTGGTCGGCCACACTTAGAGCCGTGTGACATACTCCCCCTTGCCGAAGCCGTGTTTTTGGGAACAAGATTATCTGGCAGGTACTTCCGCGTTGAAATACGTCTTAAGACACAATACGACAACGACCTCTTCTGACATGTTTGGTACAAATTCACAGACGTTTCAGAGGTACTTGCTGCCTCCATCATCAGGGCGTACACCGTGACGACGGAGGCTTCTACCAGACTACACAGTGCAACGACATTCATATTCACTACCGTGAAAACCTCAAATCCTACATGATTTTACATTTCAGCTACCATTATCGTACACTCTCTGATATTTATAATAAATTCGATCTATTTTAAAAATAGGCGAACACTGTAAATTTCAGCTTTCGTTATTTTTGCTATTATGCGCGGGTTTTATTATTCTTGAGTGGTTTTTTATTAAATTTCTGATATAAAACTTTCTTTTGCTGGAAATATAAGACAAAGTTTGTTCACGTTTAATTTGAATGATCCGTTTGACTCGTGCGTGAGTCTGACACAACCCACAGCTTCTAGAAGGATTCGTACCTGCTCCGGTGCTGCCTTTCGCTGGCCGAGTCCTGTGTTTGTTCCCCGCTGGCCGCCGTCCGTCGCGTTACTAATGCCCTACTCCGTCTTGGTCAACTGCTGTCTCCACCTGACGAAATGTCCGTCATCCTTACCCACTCTGCACCCCCCCGCTCTTATACCGGGGGGGGGGTCAAAAACAGCCACAAGACAGTTGATCAACTTACTTACCTTTTTAACTGCACATCTGAGATCGCCGACTTATGGAACTAACAACGCACGTGATGGTTCCCAAAAGCATCGCGAAACATTTAATTAGAAATGAAATTAATGAAAAGACAGACCGGTCACATTATAGCAACGCTACACTGAATTATGGTTAATCAGATGATCACAGCGGCTAGATACGATGTACACAGGAAATGTTGTCTGTCATAACGGGGGTGGAGGGAGGGTTACCTTACAGTGCGCATGTCACACTAACCCCTCAAAGTAATGGACGTCAAATAGAACAGCGGATTTTAAAACTGGTTAAGACATGTTTTGATTAAATCTGAAAAAAAAATGGTATGTACACCGAAAGCAGATCTGATCAGAGCAAATATCGATTTTTTTAAACGGTTCATATTAGGGAACAGGAACTTTTCCCGATGTTATATTGTAAATGCGATGTGCAGTGAATCACGTAATTCTTTGTCTTGTTACGAATTCACGGAACGACCTTAACAGAGTCACCACGAATGCAAACATCTCCATCGGATTCCTTTATTTACGTTTAAGGAGGAACAAAATGAATGTGTCTCTGTACAGCTCCAGTTTTATTATACAAAAAAAACATCTCAATAAATAAGGCAGTGTATTAAAACTTTTATGTACAATTATATACAGCAGAGGAGTAGCGAAGACTCGAGAAACTGAGACAATGACGGCCATCTTGAAGTAACCACAACTTCATTTGTCGTGCAAACCGGATACATTAATTTAAAATTCCGGACACTTGATTCTTTCCGGTACAAGAAAATTTTTTCATTATTATACTTGGTTATTAATATTAATACATATGACACAAAGTAAAAAAAACAACAACACAAATAGTTAATCACGTAAACAAAGAAGTTCCATTTCAAGAAAAAGATTCCCATAAGCACTGTTACAATATGCTTTTATCTTGTTAGATAATTTATCAAATTTGCAAGATAAGGCCAGGCCTGTTATTATACACATGGGAATCAACCTGATATCATGTTGAGAAATTTTACAGTATACCAGTTGCGACATATTTGGCCCTATCTGTACACGCTCCGTGTTAAATTATCATATCTGTACAACAGTGTGTCGACGCAATCGATTGCACAGATTCGGTAAGCTTCACACAGATCATAATTCGGTTGTCCTCAAATACGAGATTAGATTCTTGAAGGATAAGTGAGCGCTCGCTTAAAACAAATGAAGAGCGGCTTCTGGATTCGTCGCTTCTGAACGCACAAAGTCACGAACAAGAACTGAAACCGATTTAATATTATTTTGATTTCTTAATGGCTCTGAAATAAGAATTGCGACGCTAATTTTCCGGGGCACGAGAGCAGACCAGAAAAAAAGTTGAAATTGAATGTCGCGAAGGGAAAAACACATTTTCTTATGTGCCACAAGATTTTCCTTTGTGAGATGGCACCTCTGCCGCTAACACGAAGTTTTTTTTTTATTTTCCAAAATTTCGCCATTATCATCAATGAAAACTGCATACTTTGGCAATAATTTACAGTCGTACCACTACTGACAACCAAAAGCGACACATCGCTTTTCATGATTTGCTGCTACTGAAAGCGAACCATCAATTATTTAGAATAAATTGGGTCTGGCCTCGTCTCCAATTTTAGGAAATGCAGAGAGCCACTGAATTATTTCTCAGTGGGAGCTTACATAACCTGAGTACATAGAAGAATAAAGAAAATACAATATACAAATTATATCAATATTAAATTTGAGTCACTGACCAAATAATACTAGAAGCAGCCCACGTTGAAAAGTATACATTATGAGACTCCAAGAGAACATAAATTATTTCCAAGCAACATTCAGGAACACGCACGAAGAGATACGAAACTGGAGAAAATCGAATGCGTATCGCTTTGTGGAGAACGCACGTCATGTGCGTCTCTTCCTCCTAGCAAGCAATCAAGAGCTGCCCAATTAGAACCTCCGCTGACGGCCTTCAGCTCTCCTTCCAACACATATCGGCCTTAGATAAACAGACAATTAATGCGAACAACTTGCGTCCAGTGACTCTGGCAGGTGGCCAGACGCTTCTAGGAGCGGACGTTAAAGATGAAATATCTGGATTCTCAGGTCTCTTAGCATACCTGATGTCAAATTATTCTCTCATTCCACAAAATGAGAGAACCAAACATCTTGTTAAAATACACGGGGCTTGCCTCTCAAATTAAGTTGTTATTTTTATTATTCTCTGTATCTTTACCAAATTCTTGTAACCACATTCTCTCGTTCATCCATCCACACAGTAAAGATAAGGAATCAGAAAACACGTCACATTTTATTTTAATTTTGTTCCAACAGGGACGATGCTGAGAGGTCACTTTGACCTCTCTGCATTTTTAGACGTAATCCTGAACTCTGAATGAACAAACGTCGATGGACGAATCCGTTCAGAGCCTCCATATCGGAAATGCGGAAACTCTGCGGTCTTAATGCCCAATCCTTTCTTAAAACTGTGTGAAAAAGATGCCCACTCGTCGCTTTGATACATTTTTGTTAGCAATTAAAAAACATTAGTCACAATTGAGAGTTTACCTTACACGGAGCAACGGACACAAAGACACGTGAAGCATTTCATGACATCTGGAAACATTTTGTTAACGAAAATTAATAAACTGTAATAAAAAATAAAATACTTGCATTGGAATGTATTATATCATTTACGTCTCAAAGAAAAATGTTCCACTAACGTAACACTATTTGATACAATAGGCCAAATATATAGTGGACGCCACGTTGTTTGTATGAAGCCTTTGGAATGCTACGGGATGCAGGTGGACAGAGCAGAGAGGCGACGCGGTGCGTCCCCCAGGCAGCGCAACAGATTCGTCAGTGCGCTCAGAGCCATATTGAATCCGACATTCACCTCGTTGTTACGAGTTTCTAGTAAGATCCGCTTTCTTGTGTCATTATAACTCACTCGTCTAAGTAACATTTACGAATACATGGATTAATCTATTAACACTTGTTTACTGTGAGATACATCTTAAGCCCATAAATACCATCTGTGGGGAGAACGCGGTGTTACTGATTATTAAAGCGGGTGGCTTTAAAGGGTAATTTAACATACACTCAACAAACTTTTGACCAATTTTAATAGCGAACTGCGTTAAAAGTTTCGTCATAATGGGTGTGTGCCACCTGTCACATGACGCAGTCTCGTTTCGTAAGCAGAGCGCAATGCTTCCGTGGCGAAACAGCTGCCCACAGCGATCCAGAGAAATTAACACCTCCATTCGCTCCGGATAATGTCACAGTGACAGACATTCTAATAAGAAGATCTACGTTCCTAGGAATCGTTGTCATTTCTGCCTGCTGATGATAGAATACGCCTAAAATTATCAATGAGTGGATATTTTACTCAACTACTCTTGGATTTTAAGCCGCGAACGAAGAAAGTAAGTTCTAACAGACGAAGAAGCTATTAATCCGCTGCTGATTACGTGGCCACAAAGATGTCATTTTTAAAAAGAGTTAATATTTGTTACAAGGTACAATTCATCTACGATTATCACCTGCCGTGATTCGCGTTGACTAAATTCTAATAGAGTAAGTTACTAGACACTGACAATCACGCTACATTAGCTATGAACATTTTTAATCGATTTATCGAAACAGAGCACACGTTTTATACTAATCGAGGTTAATTTAAATTCTTGAGATTTGACTTCCTCGCTGCAATCAAAACAAAATTCTTATGAATCCGAATTACGTGAAGTCATACCAATTGCTGGAAAAAAATCAGTTTCAGAATTTTTTTTTTAACAAGAATACGAGTGCCACGGAGTGACGCACTTTTTCTGACGGTAGCGAAAGAGAAACCTGGCCCTCCCGCGAAACACGTTCACGTTCATCATCATTAGGATGAATATGAGTGACGAGTATACACGAGACTTGCGTAATCAGATTCCAGATTTACCACCTTTTGCGGAATGTGGATTTGGGGAGGAAAAATTATAGTTTGATTTAAACAAAACGCAGTTTTCAAAGTCACCGACCAAAAATCTGTGCTTACGTCAGCCAAAAATCTTCTCCAGTAATGTTATCGGCTGTGGCCATTGAGTACGCGACTTACGCCTTTAGGAAATTTATTCAAGTTACTTTCTAATATAATGCAGTATGCTAAAAATCATCGCAATGAAACCCTGAATTCAAGTTTAGTTATCTCATTAAAACGAAGAGCCAATTCCGGCAGCCATCGTAAACAAACATCACCACAATTTAGAGCTCTACCGTCCCTTATTATTACCCAGTCTTGTAAATGCGTTTTATATCGCAGTTACGTCTCACTAAATGGGCTTTGAATCTACAAGAGCCACTTGCAAATCGAGAAAAACACGGGCTGTAACATTCTTCCAGATATATCGTAGCTGAAAGAGGCATCAGCTTAGCCTGTGGTGCTTAATGGCACCGTCCACATGCTCCTTGCAGAGCGGCAACTTGCGTGACACCGGGTCGTTTCGATTCTGTGTGTATAGATGCTAATTCAATTCGCCTGGCTTGTGATACAAACGCAACCCACAAAGACGCTCATAATTAACTGTGATTTGGCCTAATCCTTGTTAACTGAAAGAGATTGCGCAGAAGACCGTGGCTTAATGGGAGAAAATGTTCCGAATCTCCCGATACTTAACAGTGTCATTGTTTGCGCAAAGTTACGACAAGCCACGAGTTCCTCTTCTGTCCGAGGGACCTCCCACAGTGGCTGCAGAGGAGGGCCAACTCCAACCAAACAGACTCAGCCGTTAATTTCCTGGAGAAGTCAACTTCCCTTTATGTCCGAAACCGCGGTTTTTCATGGGAAAAATGATCCAAGGAACTTGTACACGGACTTTACAGCAGACGGGGGGGGGGTCTCTCTCTCTCTCTCTCTCTCTGAAGAAACAGATTTACCGGTCGCAACACAAGAGGGAGCCCGAGGGTTCACCACACAAACTAAAAGGCTCTGGTATGTGAAACTGAGGCTGGAGACGGAGAATAGAGGAGGAAGAAGAAGATGATGCTTCAGCAAGCTTGGTCTTTCGACAAGGCAAAGAAAAGAGAATTGCTTCCTTGGGCCGCTTCAAAAATTGCCTTGCTCTCTCAAGTGTGCAGAGCGCGTTTTACACCGACACCTAGCGGCCGATCAATTCGTTCCGCGGGGACGAATGGGAGGTTATGCAAAGATGTCATCTAGGGAGGCCGCCTTGCAGTTGTCTCGTTAGTGTAGCACAGACCGGAGTCGGGAACCGCTCAATCGACAAACAGCAGATGTACCCACCCTCCCCTCTTTGTGTACAGCAAAACCCACAGCCACCGCACGCAATATGATGCTGCTTTATTTCCGAAATGGGAGGAAACAGCACTTCAGATGTACCCAAGACTGACAAATGAATCATAAATTCCCCCCCTCTTAAAAGACAGTAAAATCCACCCTTGCTCTGTTGGGGTGAACCCGACTCGTCCGTCGCACCGAACACCCCGAGGGGCGACTGCGTCACGTATGAACATTGAAGGAAGCAACGAGACGTATCACCTACAGGCGCCATAACTCGAATTGTGGGAATCTGTTTCGATCGTCTGGCGGTGGCTCCAGAGGAAAGTCGACGCATCCTGGCTGTTGTTTATAGACAGCCCTCGGCTACGCGACAATCAGCAGTGACCGACGTCTTGTGGCGTCGCCTGGGTTAAACATTAATAACTACAGACGACAAACAGTCAACATTTAAAATACTCTTTTTCTTTTTATATTACAAACGCGTTGGGTAAAGAGGGAGAGTTGACGTTCTGTCTCCCTGTTTGACGCCGCGCTTGGTCAACAACATCGGCGCGTAGCAGCTGCTAGGGTAACACGACGAACGCCCTCTGAAAGAACGGGGGCGTCATACTAAGAAGCTTGTCTCACGCTGCCTGCCTCCCTCCATCCGCGATGTCGCACCTCAGGAGGAGCGTCGCAAGCCCAACACTGACTCAAATTGTCTTGCGCACTACTGGCTCTCAAGTCAGGAAATATTCTTGCTGTTCCGGTGCCGGAGCCTGGGAGGCGAGTTCTTCCGGGAATGTTTGTTCCGCTTGCTGCTGAGGAGCTGCTGGTGCGCGTGCACCGGAACTTGGGCCGAGTGGTTGCCACCGGCGAGCTTCTGGTTGTGATGGTTGATGCTGAACTCGGTGTCGAATTTGAGGAAGTTGAGGCACTTCTCCTTGTGCCGCGCCAGACCGCTCTTGAGCGGTTTCCCGCGGCGGTTGAAGCCCACAAACCGCGACTCGTTCGCAGCCGACCGGTACCTGTTGTACCCGTTCGTCATGTCCTCGTAGAACTCGCACATCGCGCCTCTGAACCTCTTCTGCAACCACACACAACATCCTACTGAACAAGCAGTCGTGGCAACGCCTTCCTTCCTTCGGCCTGGCTAACACATTCACCCACCGGTGTGGAATTTTCCGAGTGACCAACGAACGCTGAACGATCAGCTAATACAACTGTCACCTAAGAGAAACGTTTGATTTCTGTCATTTCAGGTGAAAGCGACCGGGTGCAGTGAACGTGTTAGCCAGCTTCAGGAAGCGACCGAACGCTATCTACGTGAGAGGTACTGTACCGATGAATGGGGACGGAACACAGCATTTCTGGTCACTGAAGTAATTTGTGAAGGGTGCCTTAACGGGACGAATCTGCCCCAAACCTAACCTAAATGTCCAGGAATGTCTTTTTCCGTCTCCTTTTTAAAATCCGTTTTCAGTTTCTCTTTCTGATGTAGTTCTTTCCTCGGGCATGCACTTAATTTTGAGATGACATTTGATCCATCGGAATCCTGCTCGTATGTCCCAATTCCTGGGTGTGAATCTGTCGGCTTTGCCGTGCCACTTACGTAATACTTTATAACCGAGACTTTTTTTTAAAAGAAATGTGGAGGAAAGTGCTACGAGAATTAAACAACAACAAGATCGCAGAGAAGTTAAACTATGGATCATCTTTCAAGGTCGTGGTTCAAAGGATGAGATGTGAAGCAAAATTGGACGAGGGGGCTCAGATAACGACACCAAGATCAAAATTAATGGAATGAAATGAAGCCAAAAGCGAATGCAAAACCCGTACATATTTCGAAGATGGATTTGGGGGGGGGGGGGGGAGTTTTTTAAAATGAAACACATTTATGCTTACCGATCCGACAAGTTTCCACTTTCTGTTGAAGCACAGGTACATTCGTGATTCTTCCGCGAATATCGTCAGCTTGACACTGAAGTCCAGGGACTTTATAGTGAGATTTTCTGCAAAAGAGAACATCGATACAAACGAGAAATGTGGCGCCCTTTCAAAGAACGCTAAAACACAATCACATCGTCACGTTTAACAAGCGCACAACTGGAGTGTTCTCCGTTTTACGCAAAGGTGCACTAAGTCCACTTATCGCGTTTTC